GCCGCATGCAGCTAGATGCCCGGCGGTCGGTAACGTGACGACGGAGAATTCACCTTCGCTGACAAACCCATCCTGAATCGCTGAAGGCAGGTTGGCACTGTCATTTGATGTGATCGACTTCTGACGCCCTGATGATCTCGAGCAGCTACCGAAGAGATGCGGGTTCTGCGGCTTTACAAAACAGCTGGAATGATCTGGGCCCACAACCGCGGGATAAGGTGTTGTGGACTCGTTGATGCCCCCTAAGGGGACATCAAACATAAGGCCGAGGCCATGCGCCGCGACAACTAATGATGTGGTGGAGATTAGCAATCTCAAGAGTTGACATTATGTAGGGAGGGATAGACGCAGGTGTTGGACGAGAGCACTGGAAATGATTTAAATAGCCAGATGGCAGGTCAGCCGCCATTACTATACTAACCAATCATAATTCAGAAAATGAACCAATCAGATTAAGGTATTGATTATCAGACAAGCCATTCATGCGCTCCTCGGGCAGCCCGTTATACTTCAAGGCAGACTTGATTGGCAAGTATTGCGAGCCATTTGTCCAGCAATTCCATCCTTTCAAGTAATATATCTTCTTCAGGCTCACAAGCCTTGTATCCCCGGGGGAAGAGCGCAGTAATTGGAGATAGACAAGCAGGCATCTCACCCTTCCAATTTTTTTCCGTTCACCCAAATGTACTGCATCGACGCGGAATGCGAGATGACATGACATGGAAGGTAGATCGTGCCAATTAAAAGGTTATGGACGCTAAATAATCAGCAAGCTTAGAAACTATCCGTAAGTTGTAAATTAACACTTGGGGGGTGGGTTTTCGAGACTACCAGATTCATTCAAGCTATTTTGTTTAAGGTTAATCTGTTGCTAAATTTTCCCATCAATAATATGAACAGACCTTACGTTTCTATTGAATCGAACACAGCCTTCTAAAAGGGTATTTTGTTCCTAGACGGAGTTCAGGTTCGATCTTGTTTAGGTCGCCTTAGTACTCCCAACTAGACCCTAACAGTGGCAGCACTATTTAAGATGCTGAGAAGTCAACTACTCCACCAAACTATCACGAGTGTCTTTGGGTTCAGAGCGGATGTGAATTTCCCATATCACATTCCGTGTTGGGAATGTCGCTGAAGCAAAGTTGTATTTACTATACAAATCGACGTGCAGAAAGTAAGGCTATGTGAAATTCAATGGAAACGCCAGCTCAACTCATATCATTGTGGGAAAATTCTACTACCAGCCCTTGATCACCTTACACGAAATAGGATGAATACATCTCATTACACTGATTTACTGGTAGTCTCGAGACCATACTCTCACAGGAATATAAGTAACGTAGTCGATTGCTATAGCTTCATCGGCACTCCCAACAAAGAATATATAACAAAGGGGCCTGACCTTCCTTGAAATTCACTTATGCCCTGTGACTCGTGGCAGTGTGGCCGAGTGGTTAGCGTGTCAAGCTTCTGTTTGAAATTCACTTAGGCCCTGTGACTCAAGAGTACTGGTGGCAGTGTAACCGAGTGGTTAGCGTGTCAAGCTACCGTACTGCACTGTCGCGGTTCGGACTCCCGCTGAGGGTGTTGATAAGACCGATGCGAGGTCGAAACTGCAGTCCATTGGTGCCTGGATGAGAACAACTTTA